GGGTCCGGTCGTGGAGTCTGACGCAGGGACTGGCCAGGCAGGCAGGGCTCTGGGGAGGCTGGGAGCCCACGGACACTTGTTCCTCGGCGTTGGCAGCTAATTTCAACGGCGCCCCAGTCTTCTGACTGAACGGCCCCGCCAGGACCAGCTCGAAGCCCCAGTCGGCGACAGCGGGTTCAGGGGACCTGTCCCAATAGCTTTGCCTTCCCTGAGCCTCGCTTCCCTCGCTCCCGCCTGGCCCGCACAGTCTCCATAGGGGTTGGTGGTCTGCGACAGCCCCCACCTGTCATTGCTTCCTGGGCCCTGCGCGGTCTCCAGCCCCAACAAGCAGACCCCAGAGCAGTTGGAGCCACCCCAGAAAAGCCACTGCGGATCACGCCCCTCCCGAAAGCTGAGGCAGGGAAGGGGTGACATGGGCTCCGACCGGCGCTCCCAACTCCGGCACTGCCGCTCTACCACGGGGACATGGGAGGCTGGGGTGTTCATGGGGCTGGGAGGGCTCAGGGCCTCTCCGACTGAGGGTGCGTGAACCTGGCCAGGGCTGGGCCTTGCAGCCGGTCCTGTGAAGCCACGTGCCCTAGACCTGCCACGTCGGGACGCCTGCCAGATGCACAGCAAGTCCTCTCTTCCCGGAGTGCCAGCCTCGTCTGCAGGGCAAGGGCGAGGAGCGAGGCTGGCTGGGGCAGAGAATGTACCGGATGTTCCAGAAATGGCCCCGGGCTCTGCATGGAGCCGGGCAGGGAGCGGCAGGCCCCGGCTCTGTGAGCTGAGCGCCCTGTCGCCTCAGCCCCGGGGCTGCGGTCACTCGCTGGGAAGGTCCTGCTGCCACCTCCCCTCTGCGGCGTGAAGATGGAAGCCCTGTAGCGAGGCGGCAGGAGTGCCCTGGCCGGCCATCAGCACCCAGAGGCAGAGTGGTCGCCACAGGGCCACGCCGCTCCCTTCCTGCCCACGAGCGCCACGGCCCGCTCCAAAGCCATGTGGCAGCCCTTCATCTAGTTCCGTGGGCGTGTCTCCGTTCTGAGGAGTTTGTTTTCTCCCCAGCTTTACGGGATCGGACATCCTGGTCTCGTGATACCGCACAGCAAGGCTGTAACGTGGTCTCCGGGGCAGGACCTGGCGAGAACCCGTGCCTTCCTCACCTTCCGCCCCCGGGCTGGCACCCGGCATCGCCGCGCCCTGTGACGGCCGAGGACCCCAGGCTCGCACCTGCCACCAGCAGCCGTCTGGGCGAGCGTGGGTGCACTCACCTTCGGGGCCGCACTGCGTGGGGTTGTTGATGCAGGACGTGCGGGACCGGCTGTACAGAAGCGTGACCTCCTTCCCCTCTTTGACATAGATGCCTTTGTCAACCTTCCCCTCCACCATGTCTGAGTGGGGAAACGACACAGTCAGCGACCTGCAGCCTCACCGCGCATGCGGCTCTTCCCTGCACAGAGAGCCTCGTGAGGTCCCTACCCTGGGCGTCACCACAGAGCCACACTCCAGTGACCTCTATGTGACCAGGCCACCTGAGAGCTGGACTCGGCCTGCTCTGGGCACCTCGTCGCTGCCCCTCTGCCGCACGCGCCACCACGGGGCTACCCGGGTGACGGCGACCAGCTCTCCCGCCCCAACTCCCAAGTCCTGGCTCTCACCAACCAGCACCATGGCTCCCAGCCCCCAGGCCAGGCCTGGACCTCCCAGGGACGCGTTTCAGCCCGAGGTGACCTCTCCCGAGTCCCAGCTGAGAGCCCTGGGTCTTGGAAGAACCTGTTTTCAGACCCCAGACGTCAGGGGCAATAGGAGCAGCCCGGGACAGCCTGTGGGTGGGGGACGGGGCAGCCACAACCCCAAGGGATGATGTCCTTGCTGTGCCATGGGCGTGCCCAGAACCGGCCTGCCCACCAGGGACAGCCCTCTGTACAGCGAGGCCAGGATGGTGGCAGCTGGGAGTGGCCAGCCACCCGCGGCTCGGGGTCAAGGACACTCAGCTCTTCCTACCACAGGGCTGGGAAGGGAGCAGGCTGGGTGGGTGTCAGTTTCCAGCCACCTGCCAGGTGCGTGAATGACCGGTGGCCAGGGTGCTTCCTGCCTTCCCACTTGTTAGCTTCATCTGCCACACTTCCTGCCGGAAGATGCCCAGCAGCTGCAGAGTGAGCAGACCAACGGCCGTGCCATCGTGGCAGACCAGTGCCGAGTTCCTGCGGGAAGGCGGACCCTCGGGGCACCCGCAAAGGCAGTGCAGAGGATGACACCTGTGTGGGGGCTGGCCGGGAGGCGCCCCTGTCTCTTCCGCTCTGACCCACACAGGAAGACAGGAGCCATGTGGGCTCTGGCTGAGATAAAATAATAACAAGCATGGCGTGCGTGGGCATGCATCTCATAGAACGCATCTAACGATCTTTCAAAATCCCAGGTTACGGCAGAAATGCCGATTAGAGCATTTGCAAGAGATGGTATTTTTGAGGAGGTATTTCTAAAGCAACTTTAAGTTTCCATTAAAAAGGCTTTTCCTCCTCCAAAGGCGAAAAAATCCAAACAGTTTCTATTTTTGGAAGAGGTCTCCTCTCGCGTCTGTTCTGTTCTGAAAAGCAGGAGCTGGTCTTGAAGCCCCGGTGGAGACATTGCTGCCCCGGAACTGCCACGCACACCCTGGGCTGCTCACACCCGGCACCTGCCGCTCACCAGCCAGGGCATGCCGACCCCGCGTGGTACAGACCCCGCACGGCGGCCCCAGTGCAGACACGGGAGCGGGTGCTCACCTACGGCCGCAGACAGATTGGAGTAGGCAGGGTCAGTGGCATACGTGAGGGCGGGGTTATGAGGAGGGAGCACGGTGAGGCTGTGGGCTCGCAGCGCTGGGGATGACAAGAGAGAGCACGCACATGAATGAAGCCAGCACACGGGCGGACGGACGCATATCTCTCCACCCAGGACACCGGAGTCCCGTGGCCTGGCCTCCACACACCGCCCGCCCCTCGGCCGGCTGCCGACCCCGCAGCCCTCCCCTCCAGGCGGCCGCCGCGGTGCGCCCAGGGGCGGCCGCCGCGGTGCGCCCAGGCGCCATGGCAGGCAGTGGCGGTTTGGGCTCCGACTCCCGTGCGAACACTCAGGTGAGAGATATGACGTTAAGCCTGGCCATCAAATGGCCCCGACAAAGGGTTAAGAGCTGTGATGTCATAAGGACGGAAGGGACAGACACGTGGCTTGGACACACTGCGGGAGAGCGTGATGAGTGGACACACGAGGAACGGGCAGCCAGTGGCAAAGCTGCATCCAAGGGCGGGTCCC